GATTCTAGACTCTTCTCACATTACTTTTTGACTTTATAGTAAAAAGACACAATTTTAAGAATTGTAATCGATTACAGGGTCACGTAATCAATTACTAGAGGGAATGAATAAAAATTTTGAAAATTTGAACAATTGTAATCGATTACAGGGTCACGTAATCGATTACCAGAAGCTATTTACTTGTTCTGGCACATATGTAATCGATTACTAAGTAGTGTAATCGATTACCAGAGCGTGTTTCACTTATCTGGATAAAAGGTAATCGATTACCAGTAGCAAAAAATGCAGAAATCTGAAAATGTGTAATCGATTACCATATGCATGTAATCGATTACACGAGACATCTGCACTTATATTCGTGCAGTTACGTCTTCTTCCTCACGAAAACCCCCAAAAAAACCTCCGCGCCTTAACCCACTTCAAATCTCCATATCTTCCTCGATTCTTAATGAAATCGAGTCCCGTTTGTTGCGTTCTTCATCATTCTCGATTCTCTTCACTTCTATCGATTCCATTTTTCAAAACAATCAATTTATGGCGGAGTCATCAAAACGTCATAAGGGTTCTTCGTCACGTTCAACCACCGCCGGCCGCCGACAACAGCCTCCCTCCGACGACCCCGCTGCTCCTATACAATCAGAACGGGCCGTTCCAGATCACAAATTTACAAAACAAAAAATTTAAGCAGAATGGCCCGTACTGCTCGCAGAACGGCCCGTTCTGCAAGCAGTACAGGCCATTTCTACAAGCAGAATGGCCCGTTCCAGATGAACAAATAGCAGAAAATAAACAAAAAATTTGCGTAAACAAGAAACTAACCTCAAACGTGTAATGTGCAGACACTTAGAGACTTACAAACGTCCAATGTAGAAACAAACGCACTGAGAGACATAGAGAATGAGAGAAGAGGTTAATAGTTTTCGTAAACAGGGAGCGCGGGAATGAAAAATGAAGGGTAGGCCATTTTAGGGGAATATTTACGTCGGGTTGGGGTGGTGCGATGTAAATTTACGTCGGACAAGGGGGGGTCTGACGTAAATTTACGTCGGACAGTTCGAGCTGCGACGTTAATTGGCTAATTTACGTCGGACCCCCCTTTGTCCGACGTAAATTAGATTCCCATTATTTACCATTCTGCCACTGCGTTTTTATAACGTCGGTGGTGCCTTGTTCCGACGTCATTTAGGTGACGTAAAAGCGTATTTTTGCACTAGTGAACCTAAGAAAAAATCATCTATAAATACCAATAATTTTTCAGAGAAATTACACGAACTCTATTGTGAAAATTATCTCTACAAATCACTTGGCCAAAATCATTTGCAAAAATTATCTAAAGAGTTCTACTAGATCAACAAAGTGTAAAATCCACTCTTCAAAAGAGAGTTGTTCTACTTTATTCAATTCATCTATTGATCTATAAAGGAGAAAGTGTTGTTCTCCTTGTTGGTCTGTGATTCTCAACACGAGAAAAGGGAATTGCTAGGTGTTGGAGAATTTGAGTCTTGTAAAAGTTACAAGAATAGTGAAAATCTCAAGTGGGAGACTTGAGGACTGAATGTAGGCAAGGTTGGCCGAACCAGTATAAAAACTTTAAATTCAATTGTTAGATCTTTAAAATTTGATGTAAAACATGAGTTATTAAACGGAATAAGTCTAGGTAGACTTATTTTTAGAGTAAATGAATCCCCCTCATATATATATATATATATGATGGGGGTTATAATAACAAGGGTGTAACTTTTACTAAGTATTACACCGCTCAATAACTCTATATTAAATGTGAATTTTATAAATCCAACCGTTAGATTGAAAGTTCTTTACTCTTATGTCATATATACAAAATTTTATATTAATCCAAGATGATTTGATACTTCATTTTAAAAAAATAAAATTTACGTAATATATTCATTTCAAAATATACGAAAAATATGAACAATTTGATTAACTTCAAGTTGTTGTTCAATTTTAACAAAATTTGATATGCAGATATAAAGTGATATGAACTTTCAATCTAATTGTTGGATTTACAAAATTCACAGTTAATATAAAATTATTGAGTGGTGTAATACTTGGTAAAAGTTACACCGGTGTAATTATATTCTATATATATATATATATATATATACCCTATATATATATATGGGAGCGTATTAGGTGAGAGATAATTTTATTGTAAAAAATAAGAGAGTTAAAATATAACCTTTAAATTAATTTAACGAATCAGAGTAAAACTTAATATCCCTAAATTTTAGTCCCGATATGTCAATCTCGAACATGTAAGACTTAGAGCACCTCCAATGGGGGGTGCTTATTGTGTTGCTTAAGAATAAGCAACGGTGCTTACAAGAAACTCCCATTGGAGTGGTTCTATGTGGCAACTCAGTTGCTTAAATTTTTTTCACTATTGCTTCTACAAGCAATGGTGCTTAGCACCGAGAAATTTGAAAGAGAGAAATTTGTTTGGTCCTCTTGGATCCTGGTGGAATATGAACAGAAGTTTTGAAAATCAAAAAATAGATAAAACATCCTTCACCTCTTCAACCTCCGTCCGTGGAGGGTTGTTGACATGGGCCGCCTCTGCATGGCCCGTCCCCTCCGCGCGCGACCGCCTCCGCCTGGTCGTCCCCTCCACACGCAACCCCTCCTCATGGCTGACCCCTCCGCGCGCGACCAGACCACTTTGTCCCGCGCGGCTCCTTTCTACCAGACTCGCTGGCTGGCGAGCGAACCCCTCCGCCCATGAACCCCCTCTGCCCGCGCGAACCCCTCAGGCCGCGAACCACTCCGCTCGCAACCCCTCCGCCTGCGAGTGAAGAGAGTGAGTGATGAGTGAGTGGAGAGTGAGTGGAGCGTGAGTGAAGAGTGAGTGATAAGTGAGACATTGAGAGACGTTGAGAGTGAAAGAGTGAAAAGTGAGACATTGAGATTTGAGAGACGTTGAGACGTGCATCAGAAAAAAAAAAAAAAAAAAAAAAAACGATGGTGTCAAAAATTTATAATAAAGTGTAGTGTGAGGTGTCAAAAAGTGTAGTATGAGTTGTAAAAAAGTAGGGTGCTTATTAGCAATTTCCATTGGATCAAAAATTGTAAAAATATAATGAGTTGCTTATGAGTGATGTGGCACAGTAGGACCCATTTAAAGTGGTTGGGAGTTGCTTATAAGAAACTCTCATTGTAGATGCTCTTAGGATACTCCTTCACATCCGCGGGTGTGACAGACATTGCTTTCGCATCCCGAATGTAAGACTGTATCGGAGCGTTGTGTGTCTTGTCATTTGAAAGATCTATCATGTGCCGCAACATTTGGAACAATGAAGACTCTATATATCCTTTACTTTCACAGAAATCCATTACTTTGTCGAAATTCAGAACTTCTCTGAGTGGATGTGAAGGAGTATCTCAAGTCTTACGTGTTCAAGATCGACATGTCGGGGCTGAAATTTAGGGATATTAAATTTTAATCTGATTTGTTAAATTAATTTAAAAGTTATATTTTAACTCTCTGATTTCTTATAATAAAATTTTGTCTCACCTAATACACTTCCTATATATATGAGAGGAGTTATAATTACATCGGTGTAACTTTTACTAAGTATTACAACGTTTAATAACTTTGTATTAATTATGAATTTAGTAAATCCAACCGTTAGATTGAAAGTTTATATCACTTTATATGTGTATATCAAATTTTGTTAAAATTGAACAACAACTTGAAAGTAATCAAAGTGTTCATATTTTAGTATATTTTGAAATGAATATATTACGTCAATTTTGTTTTATAAGAATAAAGTATCGAATCATTTTGGATTAATACAAAAATTTTTTATATATGATCTAAGAGATATGAACTTTCAATCTAATGGTTGGATTTACAAAATTTACATTTAATATAAAGTTATTAAGCAGTGTAATACTTAGTAAAAGTTATACTGGTGTAATTATAATCTCTCTCGTTATATATATTACACCGGTGTAATTATAACCTCCCTCTCTATATATATATATATATTAACTTGGATGGGAGGTAATTATCCAGAAGTTTTTGGAAAATATCTACAGAAAGTATATAAATTTCCTCCTATAGTTAAGATGAAATAGGTTACACTTTTAAATTCCATGGATTAAAATAGTTATAAGGTCTTCTTAAAGTAGGTTGTATACCGAAACATAATATACTGTATTATTGTATCAAACTCACCCATACTTTTAATCCCTGCTACTTGATCTCGAGGAATAGATAACAGTCAAAAAAAAATTTAATCTCTACTTGATTATTCTTTTACAACAATCTCCACTTGATCTACAGGAAGATATAACTCTCAAAATTGAAAAATCACCTACCTTTACGATCTAATACTCCGTGATCTGGTTTAAAAATAAAAATATTATAATTAAACTGCCGTATAACTACGTCGCATGAATTAAAACTAATCTGAATATGTAGAATCCCAATGGAGAATCGTCATTGGTTATGTTCTTCATTGGTTGCTCTTTCGAATCCCAATGGAGAATCGTCGAAAATACAATTTAATTTGAAGTGTGACTCTTGCTTTTTATCTTCTTTCGAAGTTTCAACCTCTTGGTCTATTCCATCCTCTGTTTTTTGATTTTCTTTTTCCTTTGCGACCCCTTGGTCGTTTCGCGTTTTCATTATTTTTTCTTTTTTTTTTCGTTCTTTTCAACCTTGAGGTCCACTTGCTCTTTTTTTGTTTTTTGTTTTTCTTCGGCCAAAGTGGCCGTGCTATTCGACATTACTTCCTTCTCTCGACCTTCTTCGGCCATGTTGGTCGTTCGATCGGCCATATAGGCCGATATTCGAGCTAAAAAGCTCGAATAAGGATCTTCATCCTTCATTCTTCAATTGGAGTCGAATCTTTCTTGGCTCGAATCACAAAACCTCTTTTCACATCCCAGCAGAAAATTTTCTTAATCCCCTCTTCTTCGTCCATCACTCCAGTATTGTAGGCATCGAAAGGCTTGGTCTTCGCAAATACAGTTAATTATTGACCTGCAAAGTACATACCTACCTCATATTCCTTTTGGTCCGCATCGAGCGCTTCCAAACCTTCATCATCATTCCAAAAGAAAATCTTTTGGTGAACAGTTGAAGGGACAGCTCCTACCCCATGAATCCATTCACGTCCTAACAAGACATTGAAATTTGCCTTCGATGGGGTTACAATGAACATAGTAGTTCTTTTCACACTTCCAATCTGAACATCAAGCAAAATCACGCCTTCAGGGTGTGATGACTTTCCTACGTAATCTGAGATAAGTATGTTATGGGGTTTTAAATCAGCTGTAGATTTCCCAAATCTTTTCAGCATAGTCCTCGGAAGTATATTCACAGCTGCTCCTCCATCCACCAGAACCTTATTCACCTCATGCCCTTCGATCATCAGGGTTAGCAACAAAGGCTTAAGGTGACCCTTCATCTCTTCAGTGGGAGAATCAAACACAACTGAGTTAAATTTAGGAATCACCCTCGAAATCTGATTGACCCAGACAATCTTAGACTCATAATTGGGATCATCGAAAAAATCTTCTCGATGGATATCCTCCTGTTCATTCACAGATTCCATAGCTCCAGCATACTCAGACGATAGAATCGATCATCGAAGTCGCTCTCTAAATAGTCAGTTATCAGATCTTCATCATCCTCCATGAACTTCTGAGATGATTCACCCTTTTGTGGTACTGAGATCGAGAAACGGTTCCCTCTGAAACCTTCAAAGGTAGCTTTCCTCATTCTTTGTTGCCTTCTCCACTGGGTTTTGGTCAAGTTGTTAAAGGGCTGTCGAAAACCACACCCATAACTTCCGGTCGAAAATCTACCAGGACCTGCAGATACATTCGAGAATTTTCCAGGAATTTCTTGGACTGACTGACCAGCATAATTCATCACTTTCTTTCCTCGACCCATTCCACCAACCATTGGCCTTGGTGGGGAATTCCATTTTTCCCACTGGAACGTTTGCATTCGGCACAAAAGTATTGCCGAATTTCGATGCATTATACATTTCCATCTTGCCTATAGGAGCGTTATATTGAGGCATATGTACCTGCCTCATGGTTAATCCAGCACTCGATCCAGTATTAAGCTTAGGCTTCTCTCGAAGTTTCTCAGCTTTGTAACTTTTCATGATTTCTGACTCTTCGAAAGCCTTAGCAGCAGCTCGGTCGAAGACAGCACTACATTGAGGACACAACATAACCTCCCTATCAGCCTCCTTTTCTCTTCGACAGAAACTCGACCAAACTATCTCCCTCTTTCGGATAGATAGGTTCTTCCTCCTTAGCGAAATCATCCATCAATTCTTCGAGTTTCTCATCAGAAATAGGCTCAATATTTTCATCACCCTCAATGCTGACTTCAACCATATTGATTCCCATCGAGACAGGTTCCGCATATCCAGTGTGAGCGGCAAATGGATCAGTGTCCACTTTCATGTCCTTCTCCTCGAAAGCAAGGCGACCATCAGTGATCACTTTCTCGATCATATCCCTGAAAATGCACACAGTTATTACTCCAATGACCATACATATTATGATATTTGCAAAATTTCTTTCCTTTTCTTTGTTCGAATGGCGGCCTTTTTTGGTTTTTTGGGAGTACAATCTGTTTATCTTTTAATAAGATATCAAATATCTTATCTGCCTTAGTCACATCGAAACTGTATCGCCTAGTCGAGTTCCCTTCTATATTGTCTCCTAGTTTTAACATTTGACATTGATAAGTAGGACCAGGACGCAACTCTACTAAGTTAACCTCAAAATCCTCACTCGAAATCTCATAGTTAGCATCCTCACTTATCTCTGCATTTTCTAAATAGGCTACCTTTTCTTTTCGAACAAACCTATCAAACTTCTTAATCTTTCCTTTTCTAACTTAATTTGTTCGATCCTTCTTACCTTTTCTGCTAATTGAGCCATATCTCTCAACTGTTCATTTACCAATTTTTTACGTATCGAGAAATCTAACCCTGTTGCTGCAATCTTAACTAATTCATGCTCGGGTATATTAGTATAACATCGAGATTTTAATTGCCTGAACCTATTTAAATAGTCATCTAACGTTTCATGGCTTTGTCTCTTAACGTTCATTAGATCGACTATACTAACTTTCGTTTCTTCTCTGAAGAAATGTTCATGAAAACTACCTTCCAATTGAGCCCAAGTATTTATCAAATTAGGAGGTAAGGTTGTGAACCATGTAAAAGCGTGCTTGGTTAGCGAACTCGGAAAATACTTCATTTTTAAATACTCATTGTTCGCTAAATCCCCACATTCGACTAGATACCTAGCTATATGTTCGACCGTAGACTCATTTAATTCTCCTGCGAATTTTGAAAATTTTGGGACTTTTGTCCCCCTAGGCAATTCTACTTGAGTTACGTGATCTGGGAAGGACACAAAATAGGGACGTTCATTTCGACCTACCTCGAAATCATACCTGTTTAGTATTATTTCTACCATTTGATCTAAATTATCATTGAGATTCCTATTAGGTCGAATTACGTTTTGATGAAAAATCCCATTCCCACCAAGATTTTTCATCTCGTTCAGATTTGCACTCATGGTTCTCGAAGGTGGTCCATCACCCAATTTATCTTCTATTTTGTTTATTAATTCATACAAAGGAGTCATTATATTATGCATTTGTGTTGACAAAAAATTAACCATGTCATGATTACTATGGTCCATCTATAGTCGAAGAGCCATCATGGCTTGATTACTAATACCAGTAGGTACGTAACTACCCTGTCAAATCAGGGAACCTTCTTGACTTGTCCCTACATGTTGATATGGGTCTTGCATAACAAAACCCAAACCATTTGGTCCCGGATTATATCCCTGTGGGGATACGTGCATTTGTGGATTTGGTCCTAAGAAAGGTACTGGCATTTCAACATGTACGGGTTGGGTACTTCGCCAATTTGGTGGCATACCCCATGGATATTCCCTAGTGACATTTTCTAGTTCTTGAGTCACATTAGCTTGTCTAGCCACGTTTTCGAGCACAACAGGGGAAGATGTTGCCCCCCTTGTCACATTAGTCACATTATCAGGATTGGGATTTCCTTGTTCTACATCTACTTGATTATCATTATTTGTTTCTCTCCTACTATTAGACGTAGACATGGTTCTTCCACTCCTAAGTCTCATGTAACATGCATACCTAAAACTAGTTCAATTATGTTTATAATTTGAACGATCCCACCGGGCGTGCCAATTTGTTTACGGTGGAATTCGTTTATGGATTCTTTTTATTTGAACTAGCACGACAAACGTTTCAATTTAGGTATGTAATGCTTTGAATTCTATGGAATGAGAAAGGATGGATTAGAAAGATTAATGATTACTTGTTTCTAAGTATTCGTCAATTATTAACAAGCAATAATGTTCGTGCGTATAAATCCTCAAATAAACTGAATGAACGATACATATACATTTGCAATACAAATCATGTTCACAACACTTTAGAGAGTTACAATTATAAAGCTATCTGACTACATGATTAAAAGAAGAAAAGAAGAAAAAACAACTAGACTAATCCTAGTTCTAAAAGGAGAAAATAAAAGTGGTCGAGAAGTGATCATACCCAGAAGCAGTTCCTTGCACGAAAGCCATATGCGTAGGCGGTGAGTGCTTGAGAGAGTTTCAAGTATGAAGTTTCCGACCTCTGTAAATCACCACACTTCTCATATTTATAGATCTAGTTGAGAGCGGTTGACTTCAAGTTTGCGCGTCATGGGGAATAACCGCTATCCACTATGCTTGTAACGTGGGTGTGGTATAACTTCTCATAACCGTTCTCCCCACGTGTTTTATTTCCTCGATTCGCACTTTAATAACTACCTTGGTGTAACCATAAGAACCTCCGATAACTTCCTTATTTTTTGAGCATATCATTGTTCGACTCGAAACAATTCTTTTTCGATCTCGAACATCTATTACTGGCAGGTGTCTTGACTTTATATTGTTTTTCGAGGAATCTCATGCAATATTTCGACGCATGTGGTTTTCGAGTAGCCTAACACAGAGTAAAACTTAATATCCCTAAATTTTAGTCCTGATATGTCAATCTCGAACACGTAAAACTTAGAGCACCTCCAATGGGGGGTGCTTATTGTGTTGCTTAAGAATAAGCAATGGTGCTTACAAGAAACTCCCATTGGAGTGGTCCTACGTGGCAACTCAGTTGCTTAAATTTTTTCACTATTGCTTCTACAAGCAACGGTGCTATTTGAAAGAGAGAAATTTGATTGGTCCTCTTGGATCCGGGTGGAATATGAACAGAAGTTTTGAAAATAAAAAAACAGATAAAACATCCTTCACCTCTTCAACCTCCGTCCGTGGAGGGTTGTTGACGCGGGCCACCTCTGCACGACCCGTCCCCTCCGTGCGCGACCACCTCCACCTGGCCATCCCCTCCACACGTGACCCCTCCTCACAGCCGACTAGACCACTCCGTCCCACGCGCGGCTCCTTTCTAAATGTGTGCCTTGTGGATTTTGATCTCTAAATGATGAAAAGTATCATGGCTATGGATATACTCCAATGAAGCTTTATTGTCATAGTTACACTGATAGAGGTCATTCATTATTTTTCATGTGTTGTCTTGCCGATTAAGCACATCATTAAACTTGGGAACTCCTCTTGATGTCTGTATTGTTCTTTTATCTTCATTTTAAATGATATCATGCATTTTCATAAAAAAGACTTGATATTTTTGTTTTGATTGAAATTGTTTCAATAATAGGCTCTGGTAATCGATTACAATAAATGGGTAATCGATTACCAGAGAACCTTTTAATAAGTAAATTTCGAACATATGATTTTCATTGTCTGGTAATCGATTACATGTATAGGTAATCGATTACCAGACTCTTAAAACAATAGTTTCCTCAAATTTAGTCATCAAACAGTTAGCGAGGGATTCATCTCAGTTAGTGACGGATAAAATCCGTCGCAAATTGTGACGGATTCTAGTCAATTATAGGCATCACAGTTTGTGACGGATTTTGTGTCATCACAATTTGTGAGGGATTTTGTGTCATCACAATTTGTGACGGACTCACATACCTCTCAGTCCCTCTCAAATAGCGAGGGATTTAATCCCTCTCAAATAGCGAGGGATTCTTTCATCACAATTTGTGAGGGATTTTGTGTCATCACAATTTGTGACGGACTCACATACCTCTCAATCCCTCTCAAATAGCGAGGGATTTAATCCCTCACAAATTGCGAGGGATTTAATCCCTCACAAATTGCGACGGATTTTTATTAATTTCTAAACATTTATTGTTACAAATTAGTGACGGAAATTATATTGTTTGTGACGCCTTAATTCCGTCACTAATTGTGACGGAGAAAATAATCCGTCACTAAATATTTTGTGACGCCAAATTTTGTGACGGAATCATTTCCGTCA